GTAGATTTGTGGAACCTCTTCTATAGAAGAGGTTAGAACTGGAAGGAACCCACCCCTGGCGTGGCGCCTGACAAATGGAGAAGGCGCATATGAGCTGCACATGAGATCCCTGTATCCAAGAGAGGGAAGAACAGGTCCCTTTTGCTGCAATCTCCATCTTGATCTCTGGATATTTCTTGTTGCTTAGCAGGATGTGTGATGCGGGGGAAGGGCTGTACACCTTCCAGACCCAGGAGGGCGAGGAGATCTATCAGAGAGTGCACAGTGCCACCTTAGCCATTGCCGAACAGCACAAGCGAGTCCTGATGGAGATGGAGAAGAACGTGAGAGTGAGTGTCCATTTCTGCTGGTGGAGGAGAAGGCAGACATTTTTCGAGGCATCTTACAAACCAGGAGTCTCCAACCTTGGCAACTTGAAGCCTGGGGGACTTCAACTCCCAGAATTCACAAGTCCACAAGTCTTAAAGTTCCCACTTTTGGACTATGCTGGCTGTGGAATTCTGGGAGTTGAAGTCCCCCAGGCTTCAAGTTGCCAAGGTTGGAGACCCCTGTTCCAAATGTCTTGGGATCAATTAATGATGTTAGACCAATTTCTTGAGTTTCTCAAACTTGGGAACTTTAAACTATGCGGACTTCATCTCCTTAGCAGCTTTAAACTATGTAGGATTCAATTCCCAGAATTCCCCAGCCAGCAATTCTGGGAGCTGAAGTCTACCAGCTTAAGAAACGCTGAATTTCCTCTGGTCCCTGCTGGCTTTGGGAAGACGGCAAGTGGTAGAAGGTTTGTTCTTTAGGGATGGGAAATCACCGTCTGGAAATCACCCATCACTCGCAAAACTGAGCTGTATAAATCCAGCCTATGGTTCACAAGAGAAATGGGAAAGAGGGGAGAGAAATGGGAAAGAGAGGAGAGAAGTGGGAAAGAGAGGAGAGGGGTGAGGGTCTGAGCTGGTAGGAAGTTGATTCTTGAGACCTCACGCAAAAAGAACACAATTCAAAGCACACTGACAATGTGTGAGCCATGTTGGCGCAGTGGTTAGAGTCCAAGTATTGCAGGCTACTTCTGCTGATCACCAGTTGCCAGCAGTTTGGCAGATCGAATCTCACCAGGCTCAAGGTTGGCCCAGCCTTCCAATGTGGGTAAAATGAGGAACCAGATTGTTGGGGAAAGAAGCTGACTCTGTAAACTGCTCAGAGAGGGCTAGAAAGCACTATGAAGCTGTATGTAAGTCTAAGTGCTATTGCTATTCCTATTAATAATGTGGCCTCTTTATGGCAGACCAACAGAGATAAATAAGACTCCTTCAAGGGAACTCTGAAATATTTTAACATGGATTCTTTGCCTCATTGTATGGAGCCCTTTTGTTGAGTGCCACCATCTGCAGATTCATTCATTCATTCATTCATTTGTTCATTTAATCAATCAATCAATTTCTACGGCCTCCTATCTCAGTCAATGACTCAGGGCAACTTACAACTCAGAAAATATATTCCAATAAGAACAATAAAACTAGTAAAAAAAACAACCTTAAAACAGTTCAGATTTTGGAAGCTCACCTCCTGCTCTTTCTACTTTTCCAGTTGTTGAACAAGGGGACAGAGCATTATTCCTATCCCTGCACACCTACCACCATGTTGCCACGCAGTGCTTACTGGCATCACATCACCGGCTCACAGAACATCGCCGAGTCTTCCAGCTATGGGGGTGAGTGCGCATCTCGTTCCATTCAACAGGGATAGTTTCACGATCACGTGATGTGATGGTAACACTTTCTACTGCACTAGTGAGACCACATTTGGAGTATTGCATTCAGTTCTGGTCACCATGATACAAAACAGATGTTGAGGGCCTACAGAAAGAGTGCAGAGAAGATCAACAAACAGGATTAGGGTCCTGAAGACTAAAACGTATGAAGAACCGTTTCAGGAATTAGGTTTGTCTAGTCTAGTGAAAAGAAGGACTAGGCCTGACATGATAGTAGATTCCAGTATTTGAGGGGCTGCCACAAAGAAGAGGGAGTCAAGCTATTCTCCAAAGCACCTGAAGGCAAGACAGGGAATAAGGATGGAAACTAACCAAGGAGAGAAACTAACCTAGAACTAAGGAGAAACTTCCAACAGTGAGGACAATGAACCAATGGAATGGTTTGCCTTCAGACGTTGTGGGTACCCCTTCACTGGAGGTTTTCAAGAAGAGGCTGGGCAGCCATATGTCTGAAAAAATATAAGGTCTCCTGCTTGTATAGGATGTTGGACTACAAGATCTCCGAGGTCCCTTCCAATGCTGGTGTTCTGTTCTTTGACCGCTCTTGCATCCTTCTTGAACGTGAAAAGCTTTTTCTGGATTGTACACTGCTAAATATAAACAACCTGACAGAACAGCTCTAATTTAAGGCAACATTGAGATGATATTCCGAAGGCAATCATTCTGCATGCTGTGTTCCATTCGCATATTAATGGACAGGGGCTCAGTCCAAATAGAGTTAGGCACTTTTAAACTTTTAAATTGATTTCCGGAGAGCATCTTTCCATTTGGTCTCTGGAGCTAAGAAGGCAAAGTTCCATTTTGTCTGGATCCTGTCCAGTGAATTCATTTATTTGAAAAGCTCCTTCATTCAGAGCTGTTCTCTATCTTGGTGATTGATTCCTCTAATGCAGAGATCTTCAAACTTGGCAACTTTAAGACTTGTCCTTCCGAGATCGGTAAAATGAGGACCCAAATTGTTGGGGCAAATAGGCTGACTCTGTAAATCACATAAGAGAGCTGTAAAAGGAGGGTGAAGTGGTATATAAGTCTAAGTACTATTGCTATGGCCCTTCCTTCCTTCCTCCCTCCCTCCCTCCCTCCCTCCCTTCCTGTTAGAATGCAATATCGCAGGCTAACTCTGCCCACTGCCAGGAGTTCGATTCAGCTTGATTCAGCTCAAGGTTGACTCCGCCTTCCATCCTTCTAAGGTGGTTAAAATGAGGACCCAAATTGTTGGGGGCAATGGGATGAGTCTGTAAACCGCTTGGAGAGGGTTGTAAAAGCACTGTGAAGTGGTATATAAGTAAGTGCTATTACTATTGCTGTTAACCTCTCCAGGAGCTTCTTTCAAGTCTCCAATCTCACTTCCATTTCTGAGGTGAATTGAATTGGTGGTGTCCCATCTTCAACTTGAGTAGGAATAATCCTACCTAGCTTTCCAATCCAGGCAAAGCTGACCAGGTGCTTTCACCTACTGAGACCTATTATAAAGGCCTATTTTATTTCTCCTTAAAAAAGTTCTGAAATGGAGGATATATTCTTATGCACATTTAGATCTGGAAGAGAGAGGTTTGCCTAGAAACGTCCAAGAATTTCATGGTGCTTCATTAACCTCACTGCCCTAGTTAAACCTGCCTTTTAACCTTTAAACCTGGTTCTAGTCCAGGGATCAACAACCTTAAACTCTCACAGAGCCACAAAGGTCCTAACTGGAAGCCCCCCATTCAATTATGGAGCCAACCGGAAGTCCGGTTCCCCCACCATAGAGTCTCCTCCTAGCACGGCGTCCTTTTTCCTCTACCTGTCCTAACCGAAAGCCCTATCAATTGTGGAGCTGACTGGCAACAGGCAGACGCAGCAGAGGGATAAAAGAGCCACATGCAGCTCCAGAGCTGCAGGTTGCTGACCCCTGTTCTAGTCAAACCTGTCCGTTAATCTTTGAACCTGAACCGGTCACCACAAATATGTCAAAACAGGAGGAAGATCTGGAGAACTGAGTCCTTTCTGCTTGTTGATCTCTGTTTGCTGCAGGCATTGAAAGGTGATCTTCCAAAGACTTAAAACCGTTTGTAAACAAAAACTGCAAGTTTCTGCTTCTGACAAGGAAACCAGTACAGTATTGGAAGTCCATAGTCCAGCAACCAGCTGGCCAGAATTGGAGTGAGGAACCAAAATGTTCACTAGCATCGTTTAAACAGTGGTCTGGTGCAAACCGAAGGGTTCGGTCCGTGATGGTGAACCTGTGGCACACGTGCCCAAAGTGGCATGCAAAGCCATGTCGCACAGCACGCACAGCCCTGCCTGTTTGTCTTCCGGGTTTCTGGCACACATGCACATGTGATGATCAGCTGTCCTTTGCATGCACAGCAGTGCCAAAAACAGTGTGTGCAGCTGATTGTCGGGTGCACGTGTGCGCCAGAACCCGGACGCCCGGCTTTTCCGAAGCACGATCCCTTCATGTGTGTGGCCGTGCCGAAAATCAGCCTGCGCATGTGCGCCAGACAGCTGATGTCAGGCATGCATATGCGCTAGAACCCAGAAGTTTGGCTTTTCCGGAGCGCGGCCCTGATGAGCAGGCGACATTTCCACAGGATCTTTTTGGCCCTCGGTGCTAAGAAAGTTCACCATCACTGGCTTAAGTGCTCTACCCAGAATGGTTCTATCCAGGATCAGCTCCAATTCTGAGACAGAAGTGGACAATCCATTTTATGTGAAGAAATGGGGTTACCCCTTGGAGATTTCATAACAGGGGTGAGGCTGAAGCAACAGGCACCACATTGCTTCAGATAATTCTTCTCAAGACCCGAATAGCAAGGAACATTGGAGATCCTCTTGAAGGGGAGAGAGGTAGCTGTTAGGTAAGCTCCCCGTTGGGAGAGTGAGTACGTTCAGCGAAGCATTGTGAGAGTTGTGTTGGAGAACACACAAACCAGCATACAGAGACACTGCAGTTTAAATAGGTTTTTTTACTTTAATGGAAAAAGAGGTATCAGAGTCCATCAAACAGTCCAAGTCATACAAGTCCAAGGCCCTGCCCAGCCCCCCTCCCNGAGAGAGAGAGAGAGAGAGAGAGAGAGAGAGAGGGAGGGAGAACACATGCCCGACAAGCCACTCCCCCCAGGTCACATGGCCAGCAAGCCACTCCCACAAAGGAGGCCACACCTACAGAGTAGGTTCGAAAAAATTTTGAAACCCACCACTGGCCAAGTGACTGGAGAATTCAAGAATCTAGAATGACACCCCTCACCCATCCCGAAGTATGGCTTCCAGAACCTTCTGGCAGCATAGCCAATGGAGTTAATCAACAGCCAATGAAACCACAAATTCCCCAACATTCCTGTCGTTGAGTTTAACTACTGGTGGTTTCACAATTTTCTTGACAACAATACAAATATCTGCCATTTCACTTACTAACATACCCTATAGCATTCCTATTTCTTGGTAGCTCCCGATTATAATTATCTAGATTTCTGGCTATCACTGGCCTTCTATTTATTGTCATGACTGAGCATCTGCTAGTGTGTGACTCTGGGTCTGTTTGATGAAATATATTTGTTCTAGGATGGTTTAAGATTCCGTTTCTAAATGAACCCACTTTAATCTTTCTGGCCAATGATTCTAACAATTAGATCTCTAGGAGAAGAGTGTGATCCTTTTGACTCTCATGGATTATCCAGCATCTATGGATAGTAGTCACCTTGGTATCCTTCTGGACCATCAGACTAGACTGAAAATTGGAAGCGTTGCTTTCACAGTGGCTTTACTAGTATGTATTAGTGAGATTCATGTGGTACCGCTGAGCATTGTTAAGGAATTCCAGAGGCTGTGTGTGACCCACTTGCAAAACACTTTGGGGATAAAAATCCCATGCATCCTATTTTTAGGATATATGTGCCTAGAATATATCTGGCCATATTTCTTCAAATGGTTTCAAGCGTTGTTGCTTACAATTATAGCCAAGGTACTTGTGGGAGCATATTCTACCATGTGTGTGCTCAGTTCTTAGTCTTGTGAGTCAGAGACCATCAGCTGATGGCAAATGTATGTTCCACTTTAGGGATAAATGCTTAAAAATCGACCAATTTCAGTCTGGTTTTGACTGCACTTCTTGTAGGAAAATCTTCTACTGTGAAATGTGCACCATTCATTACATACATTTCACTGGGCACCAAGATGGCATTGCTATTATTTAATTATAACTCTACATTTTACTTCTAACTCCTAATTTAACTGGGGTATTCTGTTAGACAAAAGTCCTGGACCAGAAGTACACATTCTTCATAGAAGAGAAAAGAAGAGAAGAGAAGAGAAGAGAGAATAGGACACATGAGGAACTTGTCTCCAGCATATAAGCTCTCAGTGTACATACATAATAAATTATGATCATAATCATAAAATACAATCATCATAAATCATAAGATACAACACTCAGTGATAGACATAGGATACTAAATAAGCAATCAACATAAATCATAACAGGATACTAATAAAAGCAGCAATAGCAATAGCAGTTAGACTTATATACCGCTTCATAGGGCTTTCAGCCCCCTCTAAGCGGTTTACAGAGTCAGCATATCGCCCCCAACAACNAACAGGGTATAAAAAGCCTAGCAAGCCCCTCCCTCAGCCCTTCTCTTCTTCTCCACCAACATTGAAGCATGGGATCCACCTTTTCTGTTCAGGGTTCAAGCCACGTGGTCCTGTCCACCAATAAACCATCTTTCCAAGCAGCCTCCATGTCTCCAGTGTCTTCTTCCCCACTTGGAGCTGAACCCAGAACCCAGAACCCACATTTCTTTCAACAAAAGCAAATTAGCTTCTAATATTCTGTCCCGACTACCAACCCTACCAAGGTCCACTCCAAGAAAACTGACCTTGTTCTGGGGCTGAAATGAGGGCGGCCCCATTGTCAGATGTAAAAAACACAAAGGTCTTGTTGCTGATGCCCAGATTCTGAAGGTGCCTAAGAATTTTCCCAATGCTAAAGTCAATTTCCCGCACAGCATCGCCATACCTAAGAGACAGGGAGGAGAAATTACAAAGCAGTCGAGGTGGACATGAAGGTATCTGAGTGTGTATGTATATATTTGTGTGCCATGCACCATGTCTATGGGGCACAGCATTTGCGAAGTCTCTCATATACAACCGTATCACTTAGGAGTGAACATCCACAGTACTCTGCTCTCAGAGCAGCTTATAATACAAGAATAACACATTATAAAAAACAACTATGTTTCCAAAAGGTCCAAATAACTAAAATTTGAAGGCCTAGCCTGTAATAATACTCCTTGCGCAAAAGAAATGTTAATACTAATTGTTTCTAATTGTATTTGCATTTATAAAACTACACTTATATAGAACGTTCATTCTAACTAGCCAAGCAGATAGAAGATTTTGGGGAGGGGGGGAGATCAGTTTTCTCAGTAAAATAGCAGTGAAAAGAAGAGGGGTGAGGCTAAACTGAGGGCATCCCATCTTAGTAAGAAGCAAGGAGCCTAATAGAAAATTCCTGTTTCGCATAAGCATTATTTCTGTGAAAGGGAGAAATAAGATTTATGGGGGGCTCCAGAGCTGACAGCCTTGTCTGCATTTTTTGCCTCTCTTCTTGATTTTTTCCAAGCTGGCATTGTCTCCTTCTCCAGCTCCAAGCTGAATAGATTATATACTGCAGCAAAGAAAATTACATGGACAGGTAGAGCCAGAAGGAAGTTTTTAATGGGTTTATCAGCTCATGAGATCCCATTTATGCAGCACCAAAGGAATTATGAAGTTAACAAGGAAAAACAATACATAGCTGTAACATATCATCATTTACAGGAACATGCTATGCTTCCAGATATTGCTGGATTACAACCCCTAGCAGACTGCCAGCATATCCATTGGCAAGGAGTACTGAAGACAATAAGGGTGCAATATCCAAAATATCAGTTTCTCCATTGCAACTTCATTCTAACATAGGACATAGAAAGCAGAGAACTTTTATCAACCAGTAACTGCATTTGCCCAGCACAAGGAATCAGTCACCCACTTCTAATTCAGGTTGCTCAGTGAAAGTAGGACATATTGGTAATTCACAGTTCATTGTCATTCAAGGACAGAAAACCTAGCTAGTTTCATAAACCATAAATAAAGGAATACAACCAAGAGAGCCATTTATTATTTTGCACTTTTGGACAAATACCCCACCCCCTCCTTTTGAAAACATTTAAATGAGGGTGAGGGGAGGGAAGAGTTCCGGTAAGAGAGGAAACCGTTTCAAATTTGGGTCAATTTCTTTCACTTTCAGGGGGCTAATCATGTATCAAAAATTCCTCCATTTATAACATTTAAGCAGAATTCTTAGAAAGAAAGAGAAAAACCAAGCCAGGAATTTCTTCTTCAAAACAAACTGGGAAAAAAATAACAAATTCATTATTTGCACAACAAAAACCAAGAGCTGCTTGGTAAGATTGTAACATGGTGGAGAAGATGCAAATAAAACACAAAAATATAGAAAAGGGGGCTTGCATTTAAGGTGGGGAGGGGCCAACAACTAGAGGGGCAATCTATTGCAAGAGGTCGTCCCCATCAGCCCTCCCCTGCAAAGCTGGCTCATGGGATCTGTAGTCCAAAACATCTCCTATACTCTCTCTCTTTGTGTGTATGTGAACAGATATATTTTTTATTTATTAAATGTTCAGATTTCCCTGTTTAACTCTTGCTCTCTGTTGCAAGAAGGGACGTTCCCTATCAACACCCCCCACCCCACAGGTGGCTGATGGGACTTGCAATCCAAAGCATGCCTAGGATAAACCCAAGTCTCCCTCTGATTTATCAGTCCTCAAAGCTCCCTGCAAGTACAAATAGAGGACATTTAAAAACCGGGCCTTTGCAGGAGGGGTGCGGGCAGGAGGCAGCCTCGAACCGAAAAAAAAAAAAAGGTAAAGCCACCGCGGCCTCTCATGCAAAAGGGGGGTTCGCTGGCTGGAGATTGGCACTTGTAGTCCAAAGGGTCCTCAGGTGTGGAGGAGGAGGAGGAGGCGTTGCACCCTCACGCGCGCAGGCCACGTGCCCGCCTCCCATCGCCCTCACCTGGGCGGCCGCAGCACACCTGCCCAGGATGGTGATGAGCCACGCGCCTTTCCCGCCCAGCGCTTCTCGGGGCCCGCCTCCACCCCCAACTCGGCTGTGATTGGCTGCTTGGGAAGCCCTTTCCCTCGGATTGGCTGAGCGGCCTCTCCATCTCCGAGGGGCGAGGTGCAGTTTAAAAAGCCGGCGGGCCGAGGGGGGGAAGAAGCGAGCGCGCTGCAGAGGCGGCGGGAGGTTCCGCGGCGTCTCTCCTCCCTTCCAGAGAGACGGTGCTGCGCGGGGGAAGCAAAAACCCCTCTCTCTCCCCCGCGACTGTCGCCTCCGCAGCCGAAGACTTCGTGCCAGGGATCGTGCCAGGGCCTCTGGCGTTGGGAGGTAACTTTGGCTGAGACGCTTAGACCAGTGTTTCTCAACCTTGGCAACTTGAAGATGTCCGGACTTCAACTCCCAGAATTCCCCAGCCAGCATTCGCTGGCTGGGGAATTCTAGGAGTTGAAGTCCGGACATCTTCAAGTTGCCAAGGTTGAGAAACACGGGCTTAGACCTCGCGGGGCAGCCTGTTCTCCAAGGGTAATTTTAACCACGGCGTTTATTGCTAGGAGTAAAAAGCCAGTGAAGGCTGAGTTAAATGTCTCCCCTATGGAGAGTTACAACCAAGGGGTTTCCTTCAGGGAGTAAGGTGGGCTTCTGAATAGTTTTAGCCAAGGCTGAAGTTTTTAGGAGTAAAATATCCGTGGGATCTCAGCTGTAACATCTTGTTTCTTTCGTTCATGGGATAAGGGACATAAGCCTCTTTCTAAAATTGCTGAATTAATAGCAATAGCAATAGTTAGGCTTATATACCGCTTCATAGGGCTTTCAGCCCTCTCTAAGCGGTTTACAG